CAAAGCTGAAAATGAAATTGTAGCTCTTGAAAACACCCTGCAAATACTTAATAACTGCAACAGCAATTACCGAAACTCTTTCAAGGAAGTCTCTGAGACAAGTATGTAAAACGTAAATTACTGTTTGCTGTGTGAGTTATAGATGATGGTATAACTGCTATACAGTGGGGAAATTCAGTGGCACAAAAGAGTGAATCACAGCCAGAGACTAAACTTGTAGTAGCAAAAGGGAGTGAAATTCACACACTACTATTATTAGTTCAGCAAGGCTGAGCAGAGTAACCAGAGAAAACATTCACATTCTTCCATCTGATCTATGTGAACATCTCTAGGCCTATATAAATACTGTGAAGGAACATTTGGAGGAAGCAGAGCATAAAAATAATTACTGGAAAAATCATTAATGGGAGAAAGGAATGACAAGTGTGTAGATAGAGTTGCACAGTACAAAAAGCACTGCTTTCCCTGCAGCGCTGCATCTCACACTGTAACCAGCTCACATTGCAGATACAAAACAAACTATGCCACTGATCATCTTCTGGTGTCAACTGAACTAGCTGGGTCACAAAATACCCAGAGCAACTGGACTGCAACTCTAGCTCAGTTACAGCTACCTAAGGTACATGCACTGTAGTGAACATAGATTGCTTTAGCTAAGCTATCTAATATGGTTTTCACATGGAAGGGGTGAGGAAAAGTAGTAACCTCTCATCTGCGAAAATGATTAGGAAAAGCAAGAGACACTGCACATTTTAAGGTAGCATCGGCAGCTTACAATAATAAACTATAAACTCTTTTGGATATTGGAAATCTCAAAATTCTGGAACTTCACCTGTTGTTTCTGTCATAAACTTGTATTTTTTTCAGTGGAACATCCTTTATTTAGCTTATAAAAAGCATCACTGTGAGCAATTACATAAATTTAATCCTAGAAGATATTTAACTTACGTGTCTTCTGCTGGCTCTGGGAACACTGGATTTAAAATCATTATCTTCCATAAAGCTAGGAAGTGATTTGGAACAAGTAAGGGGATATTACAAAAATATCTTAAACCTGGAGATATCTGTAACATTTTAACACTACAAAGTAATATTCTGCAGTGCAACTACATTCAAGTACAACTTATTTTGAAAAGGAAAGTTGTGTTGTGTATATTAGTTGTTCAGCATCAACTCTGCCTCACTATTTGGGATCACAGGTGAAGAGTATGAGGAAAAACTGAAACTGGAAGAAGAGAAAAGGGTTGCTGATGAAAAATACAGATATAAACGAAGACAAGTCCGGGAACTTCAGGAATATCTCCAGGTAAAATATAAGCAAAAGTTCCAGTCAGACACGGCTGCAGCATGTAGTTCAATCCATACAAATCATATCATCAACATAATAGGAAATCCTGAAACAGCTTTTACCTCATTCTCTTTTACAACTTATACTTTGTATCAATATATACAATTTTTTACGTAAGGCTCTACATATCCTTTAAAAAACTGCTTATTTGCATTTCTGTGAGTCGCAACAGTGGGCTTTTTAGGCACATATGCCTTAGATTCAAATTCCAGATTCATGGTGAATAATGCTCTGTGCTGGCATCCAAGAAAGCAGTTACATTTTTGTAGCACATTGTATCAACTTGTCCAGTATTGCAGGTTTTAAAATGGACCTATCTTGCCTCCTCTGGCACTTTTTTGTCTATCAGCACTGAAGGTGTTCCAGTTGGTCTGTATTTCAGGTTAGCTAGAGAAAGCTAGGTGATTCTTATGAGGAAAAGGATAACCTGTTTTCAAGCTCCACATTGGAAACTTCTCTTGGCTCCACTTATAATCAGAAAGCATCCCAGGCCCTTAAGAAATAGCATCACTTAACTAAGATTTCAGACATTGAAGTTAATATATCTTTAAGCAGAGGAAACCTAAGGCATGCTGTTGTATCCTACACGATTGTTCTAAGCCCTGTAGGTCAACATTCTTTTTGCTTATTTTACCTCCACATCACATAGCTGTCCCTCTTCTTTGATGTCAGAAGTGTTACTTCTTAAGCTAGGTTTGTCTTCATTGGGCAACACATTCTAGAGAGCTCTTAAAGAATATACTTTCCTGCCTTTTTATTAATTTACTGAAAACAGAGCCACCCTTATAGAGCTGATTTTTCTCACTCCAGCTGCTGCATCCCATCTCTTGTCTTGGGAAACAAATGAAGAATATTATTTTTCTTGGGATAGCTTGCAAGAGAAAGTATGGCACTGCAGTGTTTGGTATTACACTGCATAAATCATTTGTAGATGCAACTCTCAGCCACATCTGGAAACACATGCTTGTAATTTCATTATTCATACCTTTGAAGTCAAAGGGAATATACTGAAATTAATTAGTGGTCCTTTATGCAAGTATTTATCCATTGAACAGTCTGAGAGAGCTGCAATATCATTACTACTATTTGCTTGAGCTACATTTAGAAACAAGTAGTAGCAATAACAGATCCTCTGACAAAAACTGAAAAGATATCAGAACTGCTTTATAAATTAAAACTACTCTTCAAATGTATTTGCAGAGCATGGAAAAAAACTTGGATTCACTACTGAAGCAAGAGGCCATCTTCCAAGAGCAAAATAAGGAAAAACAAGCTGTTATATTGCAGCTGAACAAAGATATAGAAGAACAGAAGCCAAAGCTAGAAAGGGTTATAAAACAGGTTTGTATGTTGATTAACAACAACTTAGTGGTCAGCAGCTGTGCTGTGTTAAAATCACAGCACTTGAACTCAGCAGGTTTCTGCAAGGAAACTGCATCTCCATCACAGCATGTTTTAAACTTACTTATGTTAAGTGTTCCAGACTCTCCAGGGAGATTCAGTCCCTAAAGAAAACTAAAACAGAAACACAGGAAGAGAAAGACATCGATCTCCGTGCATTGAAGAACTTCAGCAAAACCATCAATAAATTGTTGGCCGATGTTCTAAACGCAAATCCTGATTTAACCACATCCTTTCAGAAGTACTTTCACCAGGTGAGCTTTTCAGTTAACTGCCACTAAAATCCTGATTTTTATCAAGGCCTACTGATAAGGTGTCTTTCAAGGGCAACTGCCTAATTCAGCAATAAAGTATACTTACAGTACAACAGCAAAAAATATGCTCATCAGCTTTCAATATGCATTTAAATACAAAGCATTATAAACTCTCCTGCTGTGCTGTATCCTATTACATAACTTTTTTTTCTCCTCCAAATTTTCTAGTTCAATCTAGAGCTGCCGACAGTTGTTTCTGTTGGAGGTAGTCAAAGTTCTCGATCGCCATCCACACAAAGCTCACTATCTTCTAGCAGGTAAGTGCTAGCAGTGTCCTTCTGTGGGGGGTGGGGATGTGCTCAGTCATTTTAAACCTAAAGTTAGAACATCAAAATTATTCCCTACATGATAAAATTCCTTACTCTTGCAGGTTTTCTCAGTCTTGCCTCTGCTTACTGAACACTCTATGGAAAATTTCTCCCTCTTTCTGTCTACTAGATTATTTTTAGCACAGAATGAAGTTTAAAATACACAGTTGAAAATGAATTAATTCTTCTGCAGTTTTTGTTCTGTTTTTCTAATTATGCTATCACTTAAAAGTGGTTTCACATACAAAGTGGTCTCACAACACAAATTTGAGCTCCAACCAGACTTGGCACTTAAGTGTGAAAACTCCCTTTCATAATTAATCAGGAAAGACAGGCCTATACTATTTAATTGTTAATTATCTTTCTCCTCTCTCCAACGGACATCTGATTAACAATGCATGAAACATACTGAATCAGTTGCCATCTAACAGCATTTCCATAGGTTACTTAAGCCGTTAATGTCAATGTCTGCAAAGACTTTTGTAGTGCATTTCCCTAGAACAGACACTGATTTTGTATACTGATGAGTAAATTTTTGTTTTTCAGGTCCTCCAGAAGCACAAATTCAGGCTCCAGTCAGACTTCATTGCTCAAAGTCATAGACTTGAACTTATCTACCAACATTCCTGCAGAAGCAGCTGCTGCCAGTTCACCACCATCCAGCAGAACTAGCAACTCTGACAGTTAAAATCGTAACTCTTAAGTAATCTTTTGAAGGCCACAATGAAGGCTTCTAAATTGTTTAAGCTAAAACTTGATTTATGCAGGTCTGCTGGCAATTAGACCACTGTAATTTTAAAATTAAACTTATTTTAAAGTAAGCAATATATTATTTACTATAATGGATGTTTTGCTTAAGTTAACGTTTAAGTATCTTTCTGATTCTGCTGCTGAAGAACAAGACCTGTGAAGACTTTAGAAACCAGTAATTCACATTCTCAATGAAAATAGCTTTAACATAACTAACATTAATTTTAGTTAACTGGTATCTCACAATTACTGCAGTCTGCACAACTCAGAACTCCAGGTAGTCAGCTGACTGCCTTATGCCTATCCTGTGCTTGCAAAAGCTGCAGCAGGGGCAATAAATCTGTAAAGAAGGATCAAGCTTAATCTTAATTACAAAGATATCACATATTTCTGTAACCGTCTTTCTTACCTTAACAGCAATATGGAACATTTGCAACAAACTACACAGTAGTATTTGTGCATCATTTCCAGGTTACTCTTAACTTCTCAACAGTCATCTCAGATCTTACCATAATCAAAAGATGATGATGCTATACAATAGTGCAATTGAAGTCAGTAAAACACTATTTTGCAAAATTACATGGTACCTTTTTGGCAACTGACATATTAAGAGTTACTTTGCGGAGGTGCAGATGAAATGAAATCCAACTAGTACTATACATCATTAGCCAGATGTTAGCTATTACTTCAGTAAATAATATAATAAATAATAATGAATTTATTCTTACAAAAACATTAGAGAACGTGTTTGATATACTCAAAGAGCACAATGCATTTGTCTTCTCCCAGACACTGGAAGGTTCAACTCACTAGAGCTGCACATAAATAACCACTGCACCTGTATCAAACAGCCCAGCAACATTAACAAAAACCAAGACACAAAATTAAGAAAATTTATTGATCAAACGAGTTATATATGTTGATGGCATATGAATTTCATTTAATTTTCCACCTTCAATGGCTGGAAGTTAAAGCTTGATGCAATAGTCAGTTGTATTCCAGGGGAAGAAAAACAAAAAACAAATTCCTGCTCTTAAAGTGTGTATTTGATGGAAGTTCCACAGCTACAGTCGAAGAGAATCAAATGATTTCATTCCATCACACAAAGCATATTGTACAGGAACATCTCGAGAGGATAAGAAAATTTGATTTTAAATAATAATATCTTAGCTAAGGTATCATTGCATCTCTTTCCACTATACAAATCTTTACCTTAAGAACTCTGACATTCTGCAAGGCAAGAAATTCTGCTTGTCATTTTTCATGTGTGTGTTCCCTTAAAAGAAGCCCAGATAAAAATTCATAACTACATCCAACAGAAAGCATTTTCTTATGTACTTTGCTGTTTCTTCTGCTTATTTCCTTTTTCCCGCTCAAATTCAGCAATTTGATTGAATATGTTAACTAAGTTCTGGGGCAGGTTTCTTTTAGTACCGCTTTCTGTTTGTCCTGTATCATTTAAAGTAGATTCCCTGTCTGGTTCCTTTGTTTTATTAGTCTCCTCATAATTTCTTTCCCTGTACTTACGCCCACTTTCACTTTTATGCTGAGTTAACTCATGCCTATCACTGTCATAACGTTTATCACCTTCGTGTAAAGGAGTGCTAGAATATGATCTGTACTTTCCCATTGACTTGCCAGAATAGTCAGACCCTGCTGGAGATGTGTGATACCTGTCCTGACCCCAGCCATGCTTTTTATAGTGTTCTCTTCTCCCTTCGGCATCCCATTCCGATCTCCTAAAGTAATGCATCCTGCTTTTATCATCTGACTTATAACATGAACCTGAATATCCCCTTCTACTGGAGAAAAATCTGTCTGTTTTATGGTATCTTTCGGTTTTGCTAGTACTTGCCTGAGTTTTGGAACTACAAGAATCTCTTGAATCTTCAGACCTACCTCCAAAAGTGTCTTCATCATCACCTGAAGTCCTCGACAGAGAACAGTGTCTGTCTTTATCTCTTACCTCTGTTTTTGGACATACTAAGCTGTCCTGCCTTTCCAGCAGTTTTTCCATTTCAAAATTTTGGTTAAGGAAGGAGGCGGAGGTATCAGCTGGAGGTGAATACCACTCCTCTTTCCTAATCTGATCTTTATAATGTGAGGAAGCTCTGGAAGAGCGTTTTTTGGAGCTACGGGATGACTCTGATCTATTCCGATGCTTTTTCTTGCGTTTCTTGTGATCAGAGGAAGAGGAGGAAGAAATTGATGCATCTGATGAAGAATCAGTTGAAGACGAAGAAGAGGATGAAGAGGAGGAGGAGGAAGCAGCTGATCTTTTCCTTTTCTTCTTCAACCTAAAAATATAATTAACCTGTGAGGTAATCTTCAGCATTAGGCAAAGGTTTTATCTAGAAAACAAATCTGCACTCCCCATAGTCTGGATGAGACTGGACTGTAAGGCATGAACAGAACCTGACTTAGCAAGACACTTTAAAATGTCATTTCTTTACCAAAAGAATTAAGATTAAATCCACTGAACAATGTAATATGAAGAGCGTCCTTCCTGTTCAATACTGCGCTTCACAAATACTTTACAAAGTCTTACAAAGTATTTGTAAACATCTATTCAATAAAAGGCTGCATAGTTAACAAATGTTACCATTACATAGTTCATTTGAAAATTGATTGTATATGATCTTATCTGCACTTGCTGCCCTTCTCTTTTTAAAATCATAAGGCCTATTCAGTGGCTAATGTTGAAATAATAACAGAACGCAGATAATGACTTAGAAAATTTAGTAGACTGCTCAGGTCAGAGCTTATTTTTCATCAGCCCACATTAAAAGCATGCAGCTGGGACACAGCCATGGAACCGTGTTGCTTTATGTATTGTGATTTTTCTCCATTTAGCTCGTGCTTTAGCTGTCAGAAACTCTAGTATTTACAGTGGGCCTCTTAACAGTTTGTAACTTACTGGTTTGAGATGCTTTCCTCTAATAGAAAAAAAGAGCTCACATTCTGGCTTAATATGCTCAAGAATCAGTACTGAATATAACAAGGTTACCTTTTTTCCTCTTTTAAAAGCTTACGCAATTTTTCTGCACTTGTTTCTACTTGCTTTTCTTTCTCTCTCTCTTCTTTTGCAGCTTGTTTCTCCCTCATTTCCAAAGATTTCTTTTTTGAACCCAAACATCATAAAAAAAAATTCATTAAAAGTGTTAATACAGGTATTTTTCCCCATGCCCCCAACACCATTCAAATATATAATTACAGCATGAATGTTTTACCAGGATTCCCAGATTGACAATTAATAAGAAGTTTGGCATTGGCCATTGTTATGATCAGGTTTTTGTTAATGACCATACCGCAGTTTTTTTTATCCATTGGAAATGTATTTGACCAACCATTGCAGTGGACCCGTGATCCAGCACACCACGAAACACATAGTCCAAAGGGTATAGAGAGCATATGCAAGAAAAACACAGTGTTAGCAATGTGAAGAAAAAGAGCAGGAAATTAAAAAAAAAAAAAAAAAAAAAGATTTGAGGGGAAATATTGTTATTGTAGTTTACAAGTAAAGTGTGGCAGAGCCCATTGTAAAATGTGTTCAAGTTGGCCATGTTTGCATACAAACCATTTTGTAACAATTTCACAGACCAGTTTGATGCATAGTTTACGTAAGAAATCATGTTCCAAGGGTTTGTTGGTGATGAGCAGCACCAGATGTCAGATACAGCAACAACGGTCCAATTCAGAAGAAAATGCATTGAAGAAAAACACATAATCAGTATTACAGGAAAACACACTTGGGTGTTGTTTCAGCCATTCTAACACAACACTGACAGCATCAGACTTGCATATTCAAATGCATATAAATGCAAGATTGTGATTTTCAGATGAATAAGAGAAGCCTATTAAAATCTAATAAGGATCAGACTTCTGCAATCTACACCCCTGAACAGCAGCTCTATTCAGAAACAGAAGCAAGTCTGGCCATTTTCAAAACTTAGCAGTAGTCATAACAGATACAATAAAGGAAACCCTTAATAGAAGATAAGGCTATGCAAACCAAAGAAACATAGCCAGCATTATGTTTACCTGTGCTGCATCAATGACCATAATACCAGAAAAAATGCTGAAAAAAAATGAAGTATTTCCTACTTGCTACAAATATTCTTCATTTTAACCAAGGCTTTAAGATCTTCTACTGCAGCCAAACATAGATAGTGCTCGAATACCATACAACAGTTTATCGACAATGCAGTTCAGTTTTATTAAAAAGCTTGTCATAGCTCCTCTTCCCCTTCTCTCAAAGCAACCTGTCAGCATTATGGCTTCACCAACTGAAGAAGTGTCAGCTAAGGCCACCTGCCTTAGTCTCTTTACTTCATAATATGCAAAGCATAGAACACACCAAGCCTGTTCCTCAGTGCTATATCTTACTCTGATCCTCCCTGGAAGACAATACAAGTAAAGGAGATAAACAAAAGGAAAATGGGGAAGAAGAAGAAAAAAAAAAAAGACAGCAGATTAGCAAAAAGATTAACCAGGGCTCACCTGTGAAACATGCTGTGTGCAAGGGATGGGAGGAAAAAGATACGAGAAAAGAAAGCTAAGATTTTCAAAAATCACCTGCCCATACTCTCACAGCCCACTCTTTTCCTTTAAATCACCTTCAGATTTGCCCTCTTGCCATCTTCCTGCACTTTGGCTGGTTTTACCTAAGGTTAATGGTTTTATCCTCTTTTCCCATCTCCACTGTTTGGCATTTTTTTTACTACTCTGTTCAGAACAGTGGAGTCTTCAAGAGGTACCTCTCTTCTGGTAGGTACAGCCATAATGCTCACTATAAAAGATTTACTATGGAGAAGGGAAGCAGAGAGCAAGACAAAGCATCAATGTCAAGCCTCTCTGTTCCGAAGATTTAAAATGATTTTTATTTATATTTGTTATGATGATTTATTATATTTATGATGATTTATTATATTTATAATATTTATTGTAATTGAATTATATGAAGAGAAAGTAAAGAATCACCTGTATACGCTTACGGACTTTTGTTAAGGCCTCTTCTGCTTCTTGAAAAGTTTCATCCAAACTTAAGGCTTTTTTATAGTAACTCTCAGCATTTATTAGTTTGTCTTCCTCTTCCAACCTAACATTTAAATTATGAAGTACATACAGTTAAGTCGCAAGGATTTAACAGTTTTTTGCTTTTTTTTTTTTTTACTTGCACTGTAGCACTGCCACTTCCTACTTCCCTCCATCCCTTCCTACCACCTATCATCTTATCCCATGTCAGTACAAAAATAAAACAGTATTTGACACATTTTTATCTCCTCACGTCCTGGTCATCATTAGAAATAACATTCTGTATAATTTCAATTCCAGTTTCAAAAATAACATGTCTCTTCGTAACGCAGATGCTAAGAAATCTATTCCCGAGTACTCCAAAGTTAATTCTTCTGTTGCAGAGGCTAACAAATATTTCACAGAAGTGACAAAACATGATTTTGTTACAAATACTGTCTTAAAAATATATACAGACATATGAGAATATATATTCCTATATACATAAGAGTAATCAACATTTCTATACATATGGGAATATCTTCAGCCATTTCACAGCACTTTAAACAAGCTTGGTACCCTGCCTGTGGAAAGATATCAAGAATTAAATCTTAACTATCCAGGAAGGTCAGGTGGCAATCTGTGCCCTTACTAGGGCCATATTAAAAAATACTGTAAGAAAAATTGTTCACAGCCAAACAGAAATATAATGCTAACAACACTTACTGCTCGCCTCTTTCCACAAGCGTCTGACAAAGGTATTTCCTTGCATTCCTATGCGTAGGACAGTTTTCTAGAGCAATTTCAAAATCACTTATGGCTTTGTTCAGACTTCCTTTAGTTGCATACCTACAGCAACACAAAAGATGCACAAGTTTTAATGATGTTTTTCTTTCACAAAGTAGGAAATCCAATGAAAAAAGCAAACTTACAGAGCTCCACGAGCAACCAAAGCTTCAACATTCTGTGGATCTATTTCCAAAGCCTTGTTGTACTCATTCATGGCTTCCACGTGGCGCCCATCCTTAAAACAATCAACCCCCGCCTTCACACTAGAGAAAAGTATTTATAAAAACACGATTATGGTAAGGCTACAAGTTTTCTACTGCCAATAATTCAGGAATTAGCGTCTCACGCAAGGAGTTAACTTATTAGAAGGTAAATTACATGAATTAAAATTCAAAACTTTCTTTAGACACTATTATTTGTAATTTAAGATAAGATTTACCATTGTAAGTAATCTTTCATGTATTTAATTGAAGCTGCTACATACTACTGTTTTAAGAAAAATTGTTTTGCTAGCATAGAATTAAGAAATAGTTCTCATCCCCATTTTAGCCTCCACACACCTAGTAAATTCAAAAGTAGTATTTCAACAAAAAATTGAAGTGTGTGCGCTGGCAAAACTGATTCAATGGGTGTTTTGCTTCAAGAAATAAAGCTGTAGCTGAACCTAATCTTACAATAACCTCTGAAAAGAAAACAGCGTACTGCATACCAATTCAGGGCCCAAGATTCAGACTGCTTTTTCCTCAACGCAGGGGCAAAATCTTCTTCATCAATATTCTTCCTTTAAAAATAACAAAAATATAAAAAACCCACACTTAAAGTTGCCTTTTAACTCTGTAAGATTAAAATTATAATACGTAATGCATTTGAAATATGCTGAAATATTACTTTTACAATGCATTACTTCCCTCCCTCAGTCAGGACTGTTATTTTTTCTGGATCCACTTTTCCTGAACTGTTCTAACACCGCAGCATGGCTACAGCACATTTTAAAAATGCATATATCACATTCACATCTACCTTGGGGTGTATGATACCAATACATACATACACATATATCTTAAGTTTATTTTTCTTATTAACAAACATCATAAACATCGTGCATTTCAATCCAAAGACATTAACAAGACTGAAATAATAACCCCCTAAAGCCTTGGCATCAAACATGCTTGGGGACACATCTTATTCAAACAAACACAATTTTAAATACTAATTTCTTACTCCAGAGGAGTTTGCCTTTAAAATACTAAAGGACGTAGAAGCTGCAGTCATGGAAACTGAAATAAGAATGGTTGAAGTATCAGTCTGTATGACTTCCACTCAAGTCTATGTTGGGATTAGAATAACAAAGCTACAGGATTGGAACAATGTAAAAATCACTTACATTTGTAGACTTCTCATCAAAGATGGTGGATTTGATTCACTTATTCCTAGTTTCTCTGTTAAATATTCAATTAATGATGGATTTGCAAATCCCGGGGAACGATGCAACACCTCTTCAAATGTCTCTCCTGTTTTTGCAACTTCCAAGCTTCGCCTTAAAAAAGCACCAGTGCACACAAAACAACGTGGATGGACACTATACCAAATATTACGTTCAGAAGATGTACGCCTATACTGACACTTAATACTGCCTACAAGCCACTTATTTCTACAGGCATAAGTTTTCCTACTGTTTAGCTATACTGAAAGTGGCAGAGACAGCTATGAGCTTCCCACCAAAGTAAATTTTAAGGAGTTTAATATATTTCAGTCCCAGAGTCATGACAACAACAAAAACAGTAAAAAGTAATGCAGTTCTACAATGGCAGATACTTAAGTTCTCCATTTAGCAAACGTAACTTCATTTGCTTTTTGCTTTTCCTACATTCTGGGATAGACTGTGAAAAATCAACTACAGCTGATAAATCTAGAAAAATGTACGTTACAGCAAAGACCAAAAAAGACTGTAGTTACCAAATTAAATTGGAAACAATCCTGACAAGTTTAAAGGATTGTCTATCAAAGACACTTTTCAGACAAGCAGGTTATCTTTAGTTAGAAAGCCTGGACAGCATATTCTTACCTATAATGTAAGGGCAAGTCCTCAGAGGCAATTACTCCTAGTTTTGTACTAGAAAGATTGGGTGGAAGAGCTGAGCTGTAGAGTGATAATGTGATCTTCTCGTGGTATCGATCGACATCCTTAACAGCCGCTACAGAAAAAATACAAGTTAGGATAAAGCAGAAAGGAGGTCCTGAAAGTGAAACAGATTTTTAATTACACTCGCAGCTACTTGCCTCGAATCATATCTCCAGCTTGATAATAAGATAAAGGATCTCCATGGTTGGTTTGAGAAGGCACATCTCTCAGTGGACAAAGAGCCTACAATACAGGAAAGTAGAAAAAACATAAAAAAGAGGTTAAATTATAGAGCTAAAATGGCTGCATTACAGAATTTTTCGTGTTATTGCCATCAACTCACAATTTCATCTGCTCAGCAATCTTTCAACACATATACATATAAACTAAGAATACTCCATGTGTACATGAACTCTTAAAAAAATGGAAACTCTTATCTCCCTGAAGTAAAACATGCTAACAATATCAAAGCCACTACAGACACTTACATAAGAGCATTTGAGCAAAACTAGGTTTTTTTTGCTCCACAAAACTAAGATGGAGGAATATAAGTTTAATCCTCCCACACATGAAAGACATAATAATTAAATGCATGGCTTGGCTCAAATTACAATTTATGAATCCATGAACAATGAATTTTCCTACTATCAAGTAACACATTTTGAGCACGGAGCATAATGAAAGTGCTTGCTGACTCAGCAAAGCATCATAAAATCATAAGTTGTCCACAAATTCAATTACCACTCTCTGTCCCAAAGCTCAGTTTCACCTTTACTTGTACCACTGCATTATGAGATACAACACACACCCGTAAACGATCACAGTCAAATCTTACACTGATTTGTAAGTCATCAATCTGCCGTATGAAACCACTTCCCAGACACATCAACACCATGAAAAAGCCAAATTCACGAATGGAAGTAATCCTCCCAATCACGATGTCTCCACGTTCGATGTCTCGAAAAAATAACTCTCTCCTGATTTCCCCAGGAACCTCCATGAACTGCTCCAGGGGAGGCATCACAGCATAATACTCTACAACACAAGAGACATTCACAGTTCCAAAATGACCAAATTACAGCCTGAAAGCACAAAATACTTCAAAACAGCAGACTACTTCAAAACCTGATTCCTTTGTAGTAGCAAAAATTTATGCACAGACCAGAAAATGCAAAAGGAAAAAAATTTAACTGGGCTTTTAAATATATCTGGGGCATTGTGGGCAGTTTGGGGTGCCACAATACAAGAGGCGCATAAGTCTATTAGAGAGAGTTCAAGGAAGGACTACAAAGAGGAGGAAGAAGGGCCAAGAGCACAAGGCGTATAAAGAATGGCTGAGGTGCCTTGGGTTTTCGGCCCAGAGCAGAAGAAAGGCCTCAATGCAGCCCACAGCTCCTGAAAGGGAGTGGAGGGGCAGTGCTGAGCTCTGCTCTCTGGTGACAGCAACAGAACCCCAGAGAACAGCAAGGAGTTGTGTGAGGGGAGGGTGGGGGGATGGGAATTAGGGAAAGGTTCCTCACCGGAGGGCTGTGGGCACAGAACAGACTGCCAAGGCACAGCCCCGAGCTGCTGGAGTTCAGCAAGTGTTTGGACAACGCCTGCAGATGTAAGGTTTGTGTGGTGCTGCGTGGTGCCAGGAACTGGCCCTCACCTTCATTTTCTTCAATGTTGTCGGCAATAGGACCATTGGGTTTCCACGACTGAGCAAAGAGCAGGTCCGCCTTTTTGGCGATGAAGCGCTGTATCTCGGTGTCGAGCTCCGCATCTTCCTCGGCCCTGTGGGAGGAGAACGAGCTGAGAACGGCCCCGCGCCCCTCCAGGCTCTCCAGGCTCTCCCGCCGCCCCCAACCGCCCCTGTGATCCCTCACCACGCGGACGGCGAGCGGGGGGCCCCGCGGGGCGGCTCGAAGACGGTCCCCGGGGGCGGCAGCAGCCCGCGGAAGTCAGGGTTGTCGTGCTGCTCGGAGCGGAGCAAGGCGAGGAGCGAGGGGCCGTGGTAGCTCAGCACTTGGCGCAGCAGCTCCCGCTCCATACCGCCGCCTCCGCCAGGACCGGAAGCGGAAGGGGGAGCGCGGGGCAACGCGCATGCGTAGTGCCGGGTAGGAGAGGCCGGGGCAAAGAGCGGGACGGGACGGAAGCAGCGCCCCCTGGCGGGCGGGAGGACTCCGGGGGCCGCTCTGAGCGAAGCGGTGCGGCGGGCTGCAGGCCTTGCGCGGCGTGCCCCGGCAGCAGAACAGAAAATAGAAACAAACGTGTGGAAAAGGCAGGGGTTTCGTGCGCTCCGGCCGAGCCGGCAGCGTTCAGGGAGCGGCAGCAGCGGCGCAGGGCCGCCAGGGGCCGCTGCCGTGCCGGGCTCGGGGGGCTGCACGGGAACAGCGGCTGCACGTGGGCTGCAGCCTAAGCCGGGCTGCTCTCGGGAGCGGGGCTGAGCTCTTCTGTGCAGAAGAGTGAATCTGTGCTTCTTAGCAAATGCAAAGAGCTAGCAATAAAAACTGTTTGCAGCACAAACTTTGCTTGCGTAAGCGTTTCTCCTGTGCGGCATGCAGATACACCTAAGTGTAAATACTCGGTGCACGGCGAGAGCTGAACCCCGTGTCGTTGTGGACTTTTCCTACAGACCTGTTCTTCTGTGAGCAGAAATCAATTGCAGTTTAGGAAATTGAGCAATTCTGACTCTGCCAATCCACAGACTGTATCTGGTTGCCCATCAACGTGAGGGTTACTTTCATGTTTAAGCAGACCATTTTGTCTCCATGCTACCACTCCATTGCACAGGGACACCTGCCTTAGAGACAGCGTGGCATCAAAACAACAACGCAGCCCAGTGATATAATTAGCTACACTAGATTTTACCTGGGCCCAACAAATTCTTAAATTACCTTAATCAGATGTGCAAAACACACACCGTATAATTCCACCTTTGGAAACAGCTTTGCAATAGCAGGCTATAGGAGCATGAACTCATCATTTTCTTTCCTCGTTTTCAGATTATAGGAATGAAACCCAAAGCAAAGCATGGCTACCAAGAACCTTCTGTGCACAGTTCCGTCGCACTCAGGACGTACACAAGTCTGTGCTGTCCTTGCTTGTCATGGGCTATTGCGGTGCTATTAACAATCTCTGTATGTTCATAGTGATGGGTCTTTTTCCCTCCACATTTTTCTTGTTTTTCTTCAGTTAACTGATAGGAAATGCTTGGGATAGAAGGATACAGCAGCCATCACAATTCAGTTAGGCTAACATTAAATGGGACAGTATAGAACAAATGTGGGTAGGTGCACAGCGTAAGAGATTCCAGGGCCCAGTCCTCAGTTCTGTTGTCTTCCAGAACTGCCTGAATAGGCAGTGCTGCCTCCCCTTCTGAACAAAGGCAGAGGTGTGCAGGACATCCCCTGCTCCTGCAGGAGCAAGTTATGGACATGACAGGGCATCATTCCAGGCACTCTGAAACCAGCCTTGGCCAAATGAGTTAGATGTAAATTTTCTCACTTAGCTTAGCTCACTGCATGGTAAAAGGCTGCTTCTAAGATCGTGTACCCTTCAGCTCTCTCAACACAAAGCTTATACTTTCACACCAGGCTACCTTTGAACCTAGGGTCCAGCTTACAGTGAACAACCCAAAACCTGATCAGCATGAAAGAATTTTAAAGCGGGTATGTGAAACACTAAGCAGATTTTCATCAAACTCCAGTAAGCAAAGCTTGAATGCAGCAAGGTCAAGCTGCTTTTTCCGTGTTCCCAGGTATATCAGTGGTAAAGCTTACAAGAAAATTGCAGAGAAGAAAGGATTTTGTGTCAAGAACCATATTTTATCACTGACAGAAAGATCTCCCAAGATCATGCTTTCCAAAGTGTTATTTTCTGCAAAGTTTGAGCAGATTTGAGGTAAATTTTAGCCTTCTCCAAATGGGAGTGAAATGTTCAACTAAATTTATTCTTTTGACTAAGAAAGATGAAATCAATAGTATTGATGAGAACTAACATGAAGAGCTATGCTCCCAGATGTTTTCTTGGAGTTGTTTTTGGGAGGCTCTGCCTGAAGTAGTCCCGCTGTCCAACCTTTCTGATCATTTATGAGGCAGCAAAGGGTTTGTTCAAAGCTGATGTGATAGCCGAGATACTATTTTAGTTCAAGAATGGGGGAGGGATGTTCAGTGCAAAATAATTGCTAGCCAACTAGCAGCTCTCCTTTGTGAAAAACATGATGTCTGCAGACAGAACCACCAAATTATGATGGAGGCGGTGTGAAAACAACACCACACGGAGTGGCTGTACAGCCCAGGCTGTGCACATTCAAGCATTTTTCTTTTTAATATGTTCATCCTAAGTCCAACTTTGGCATGGTCTGTGAGAGAGAGTAAGGTTTCAGTGGAGACTCATGGAGGTCTGCTGGGCACCTGGCTGTGGTGTCCTGGTCTTTGCACATCTCAGATGTGTGGAATCGTGCAGACAAAGAATACTTGGTTGCATGTAGCAATTATGCAGAGATGGACTGTGGAAACTGCCCAGGCTCTGAATGAGCAATTAGGCGCTGTTGGAGAACAGAAGAAATAATAGTTAAGAAATGTCAACTGAGCACCCCCTGCGACTTTCAGCAATTTCTGTCAAACTCTGCAGGCAGAGGCACTGCTGAGCCTTTGTGAGGCTGCAGAGATTACTGCTCGTGCTGTTGGTGCAGCGTGTCTGCAGATTAGTGACGAATGTTGGAAGGCTTCAGGTGAAACTGAAAATGTTGCTGAAGGAAACACTGGCACTGATATTTTTTCACTTGCATGTGGAAAAGCAGGCTGTTGTGAGTGAAGATTTACTTATTTAACAGGAACACCAGTTAAGGAATTTAGTGATAACCATGACACAGACAATATGTGCACACCCACCTGTGCGGTGTGCAGTGTATCTGGAAATGCTGCCTACAGAGCAAATTCCCATGGTACACGAGGAACATGAGTACATGAGGGACTCAGCGGAAGGAAAGCTGAGCAGGCTGATCACTGTGCTTCCTATGAACTCCCCAGCCTCTCAAAGTCTGCAGGCTGGTGGTATGTGCTGCTTTGAAGCAAGGGAGTCATTCTAGCTTCAGAGTTTTACAGTAAATCATTACAGCTGTGCAGCTTTCCACTCAGCAGAGTAGATCATTCCTCACAACCCAAAACTTTAGTTCCAGCACATAGCAAAATACAGTGACAATATTTGATTTCCAGTCTGCAAACACTGCAAGGCTTTTAACTTCAAGCATACAACTCTCAATTCTTCTCCACCTCTCATCCACAGTAGAGCAGTGTTCATATTTCCATTGTAAAGTTATTCCACCAGCAGTTCTCATCTCTCAAAATTGTTGAATGCCACATCTGAACTTTCCAAAGAAGCTCAAGAAAGTCCATAAATTATTTTGAAAATGTAAATCCCATGGAATTCTCCTGTTCCTCTTGAAACTATCCATTTGTTTTTGTATCTCACAGTTGGTTGCCCTAACCTTCCATTTGTGCAGCATCTGTAACTAACACTGGCTAAAGAGCAACTGACAAATGTTGGAAGTTATGTTCTAATTGCTCACAATGAATGGGAGATGTACCATTGCTGCAAACTGATCAGCAGCCTCTTTACGTTGTCACTTGTGTTTCTCACTATTTAAAATACACTAAATTTAAGAAATAAAGCCTGTTTTAACTCATGAAAAGTTAAGCAGTTGGCAGCTTCTCACTACAGATTAATGATCTCCATATTTGCTTGCATTTAATGCATGAGCATAGCTTTATTTAAAGCGAACAAAATGTATCTAAAATTGAATTTTGTCATATATAGGTGAAACTTTGAAATTGATAATCTAAGTTGGTTTGATATGATGTCCAATTAATTTTCATTTCCTATAAGAATTGTTTGGAGATAGAGTGACTAATAAATAGCTTTGCAAAAAAGTTAATTCCCATGTATTCTGGATGATGTAATTCCAAAATTAACAGCCATGAACAGTGACTCTCCTGCAGAAAAGACATCCATTGGTCTTCTGACAGAAAGTTTGGTGTCCCCATCACCTGGGAAAAGCTGAGACCAAATCCACAACACAGAAGATCAAAATACCAAATTGATGTCTGCATATTATGTCTGTTTCTTTAAACACTTGGCAAATCCCTCACAGCATTAAATCCAGAAAGCTGAATTGATTTGAAGTAAATTCACATTCCATTAAAAAAAAAAAAGTGTATCTGCTCTAAAATTTAGAAATGTCATTTGGTTTGTAAGTAGAGGTTTCCAATTTGTATCAACATACAGTTTTAATAGCAGGCAGCAAATGAAATCTGTTGTCTTTTTGCTCATGGGAGAATTTACAAAGACTGTGACAGCCACAACTGCCACTGATTTTAATGGGAAGTTTTGTGCTTCTGATGGATTTTGGATGAAGATTTTGAGGGCTGGCTTTGACTTCAGCAGGTTTCGGGTCAGACACGGAAGTCAGAAATCTATCATTAAAATTTCTGTGCTTGCATTGCTGTCTGCAATTAGGAAAGCATTAATCACAACACATCCGTGCAATTGAGTGTCAGTGTGCAGGCACTTTGGCTGGAGCTGCTGAAATGTAAATAATATACATCTGCTGATTTTCTCCAGCTATGTGTCTTATTAAGGCAGCTCAACTCAAATACATATTCACAGAAAACAGAAGGTCTTCAACAAATGAAATCTAATGGAGAAATAAGGAAGCAACAACAAAAAACCAATAACACTATAGACAACAAATGTGAAAGAAAGCTGTATGCACAAGCAGGTAAAATCATTGAAGTACAGCAAGAGGCAGAATTCCTCTTTTTTTTCTTAATATATATTCCAAATCTAATGCAGAGACGAGATTGAAATGAAAATTATGTGTTCTGTTCATCTTCTTTTTTCCTCCTATTTGTTATATTTTCGATGAAACTGAAAAAAAAAAAATTGTTTTTAAGGTATTTGGCAGCTAAAGGCACAGGATGGTGCCAAGCACTGTTTCCAAAAACAAATAAGTAGGTTAAGCTTGTAAATACCTTTGAAAATTCTGCCCTAAGAAAGAATGATAATTCAAGCCACAGACAAAGTTCCTACATATGTAAATGGC